GCCCTGACATCCTCCTTCCATCGTGCCTTTTCTTCTAGCACAGTTCGCAAATTGGATGATCTAGGCAACTCCGTCTGCCTAGATGACGTCTGGTGCGTGCGCGAGGGCCGATAGGTGCTTCCCTCAGTATATGACCTCTCAGATCTGGAGTAACGAGTCCTGGGAGTTCTTGACTGAGTGTCGCCTGTTCTCAGGCTCCTACTCTCTGCTTGCGATGGTGTGGTATGCCTACCACGACCTTCCGAGTGCCGAGGAGGCGTGTTGCTTTTGCGCCCCTCTCCTGTCGCCACCACTTTTCCTTTGATCTGGCGCTTCATAGACTCCATGTCTGCCGCCATCTTCCTTATTAACTCGTCTTGTTCCTTCACGCGATCCTCCAGAAATTGAGGATCCATCCTCCGCCTCTGTCTTTCAGGACTTTGAGAGCGACGGGGGCTGTTAGCCCGCCTTCCCCTAGCATCCCTTCAGGGGTTCTGTCGCTGGGGCTCTAAATCCGCTATGGGAGGGATAGAAGGCAAACCTTCGCGCCGCCCACCCCCCTCTGGGGTTTGTCCGTCGATAGCAGACTGCGGAAAATCTTCATTGTGCACCATTGCCTCCAATTAGAGAGAAAAAAACTTGATCAAGAGGTTTCGTTCTTTCTGGATTTCCCACAGACGGCGCCAATTGTACGAGCGCGAAATAATTCTTCTCGTATAATTCTGTTGATCAAGTTTGCGCTCCTCCAAACGTCGTCGCTTTACTCCTTGAAAACACAAACGTGAGCTAGTCGGCGGGTGTGTACCAGATACCTCTCTGATGCCTAAGTCAGCAAAATAGACAAATAGACAAAAGCTCTATGTATTCAAGAGTCAAAGTTGTGTTACCTCTCCATAGGTGATGTTGTGAGCTTTTATAGGTTCTGTGTGGTACAAGTAGGACTGTTATTCCTCCATGTAGAGTCCTTCTAGGATTCATACTCCTGAAAGATAATGCTTATCCTTCGACACTCCCTTCACTACTTAAACCATGTGAGATGGTTTTACCTCGGTAGTATGACAAAACGACCGAGCTAATATGGCCTTGCTAAACTGGCAGAAATGATCGAGCTCTAACTAGCTCGATTCTTCTCTTCATTGCTTGTACCTTGGTTTCACCTGTTGAGACCGTGCTAACCATAGCAAGCTTGGACCGAGCTAAGCAAGAGCAAGGTCCTGAGGAAGGCTCAAAATACCTCGGCTCAGAATGGGACAATCGAGCCAATTGTTGCCGCTCTGACCATGGTGACCGAGCTAACTACAAGGCTCTTTTGCACCAAGCTAACTACAAGATCCTTTTACTCAACCCATCTTATTGTGGCCCACAAGACGGCCCATTACCCAGCTCGGCCCAATTTACTTATAAATTACCCTCACAGATGAATAAGAAAACACAAAACCCACAAATTTTAAATCAAAACAATTGTTGAAAATCTAACCACAACCCAAAATCTATATAGATGAATAAGAAAGTCTGAAACCCATAAATTTTGAAGCTAAGAGAGAGGAAGAGACAGATGATACTTGATAGATGATTGTGGAGAAGTTTTACTGAGTTGTTTTTAGGGATTGGAACGAAAAGAGTGAGGGATTGGGGTTGTATTTATAGGTGGTGGTGGGTGGGGTTGGAAAGTAAGTTACTACAAAGGAAGAAGAATTCGGATCCAAAATTTTTCATAAGATGATCATTTTTGAACGGTTGATATTTAATAGTACAAAAGTTGAGAGTACGATAGTACAAAAGTTTGGGTTACAATAGTAGTGGTAATTACTTTAAAAATGTATAGTCACTCTATAAAGAAACCATTGAGACTCAATAAAGAAAACGGATTGTAACATCGATAATCAATGCATATATGGAAAACACTCTAAAGAGATAACTCATTTTGGTGCATTAGCACGACCCTCAAAACCCTATAATATTTTTCACAAACCCCAATTAGTATATCAATACCACAAAAATAAAAAAAAATATAAATAATTCATTTACCAATTGATTGTTGGGTCATAAAAGCCAGAGAATTTGGTAAAAAGACTTAATCATACATTCAACAAAGAAAAATAATCAACAATTAAATGCACACCTAATAATATCTATCACGTACAAATTAATATGTGCCTTCTCAAGAAACTTGGAGAAAGTGAGTATAATATGTAAGAGAGAAAAGGTTCCATCTAGGAGGTCAATAACCCATTCCAACTATTTATACCCTTCAAAAAAAATATTGGATCAAACTCATCAAAATGAAGAATAATTACAAAGTAATACGAATGACAAATAAAATAAAATAAAAAAGTTATTTGCAAAAAATTATGCAAGGTTCCATGAGAATCAACAAAGTTGAATTTTTGTAACATCTGTGACAAGAAACTTCATCTCTTTTGCCGAAGAATAACCCATTCCAACTATTTATACCCTTCAAAAAAAATATTGGATCAAACTCATCAAAATGAAGAATAATTACAAAGTAATACGAATGACAAATAAAATAAAATAAAAAAGTTATTTGCAAAAAATTATGCAAGGTTCCATGAGAATCAACGAAGTTGAATTTTTGTAACATCCGTGACAAGAAACTTCATCTCTTTTGCCGAAGAAAAAACTACTTGAGTAAAGGGTAGAATTCATACATATATATATATATATATATCAAACTGAAGCTATTAAGCATAACAAACATTTTGTTCCTAGAGATAATTGCATTTTTATTGAGTTATTGATATATTTATTTCATTTTGTAGACTTGTTCGGTAAATCAATTTTCTATTCAAGAATGAGCTACTAACTAGCCACCAGGGGTAGACTGCATATAAAAAAGAAGTTATTTGCAAAAAAATTATGCATAATTATGAGAATCAACAAAATTGCATATAGAAACTTGGCTCAACAAGACCTGAATCCCATATGTTAAACTCATACATTCCAGCCACATTGCAAGAGAAATTGTCAATTTAATTCTTCAGCATATCCAATCAAATAAGAGTTACAATCCATAATGATCTTCAGCATATCCAATCAAGTAAGAGTTACACTCCACAATGATAGTTATACCTGCCACACTACAAAAAAATTGTCAATTTAATTCTTCAACATGTCCAATCAACTAAGAGTTACAATCCACAATGATAGTTACTTTAGTGAGGATCAAAACCCAAGCAAGGGCGCCTGATATTTGATAATATTTTCAAGTTTTTTATTCAAAATGAACAATATAGAAAAATCTAGCTGAAATCCAAAAATTATAGAAGCAAAAGCTCACTAATTCAACAATGACAATAAATTGGTAGACCGTAGAATTAAGATACACCGACAATAGATTAAAAGATCTCAATTCAAGTAATGTTGAACAGCACAATAATCTCACTTTTTCTTCACATAGAATATCATTCACTTTCCACACTTTCCATTTGTAAATTCAACAATGATCATGAACTGAACTAAATTCTAACCAAATCACCATAACATGCAAAATCTATAAATATTAAAATCATTTATTTTTCAAAAAATACATTAAACCCATTATCACAAAATAGAGAAGAATATAGCAAATTAAACCCATTAAGGAAGAATTGACAATGTCCTTCCAAACACAAACAATTACCCACCCCCTTCCTACATTTATTTTTCTTCATTCATTTTGTCATTTTTTTCCCCTTTTTTTCTTGTGTTCATCAATATCAATTCCCCCTTTCTTCCCTTTGTACTTGTATAAATAGAGTTGGGTTAACAAACCAACTATGCAACGCAAGTTTGCATGTGTGTGTTTTGCATTATTAAAGCACACCACATATTCTACAATTAGCTTGGAAAATGAAACTATGACCACAATGAGCAAAAATAGAATTGATTTTAGAAGTGTGAAAGAGATGGAGAAATTGATTGATTATGAAAAAAAGAGAAAATCAGTGCATGCAAAAAATTGATTAAGATAGAGATTTTTAGGGCTTCTCAGAAATCGATTTGAGAGAGAGAGGGGGGGTTATTGTTACAGATGGAAAGATTTTGAGTTTCGGAAGTGATAGAGGGGTTGGAGTTATGATGAGGCTTTGGTAGAGGGAAATCATTGAAGTGAAGAGGGCAAATAGAGAGAGAGGTCCGTATATACCTGATATCTATCTGGTTGGAGAGAACATCTTCACTTCAACGATGGAAGCCAACAGAGGCTTGTAGTCCCATTGTAGCTGGAACTTAATAGAGGCTACTGGTTATTGCTGGAAATTAAGGGTTACACAGAGATGGTGAGAGTAGCAGAGGAGGAGAGGAGGAGGAGGAAAAGGAGTGAGAGACGAAAAAGAGAGAAAGAGAAGCATAATCATTGTAGGGGGAGTGAGAGGAAAATAAGAGCAGAGAGAGTTAACCGGTTGCTCAGGTTTCCCATTTTCTACCATTAAACAATTCAATAGTCCTGATAAATTGTTTGTAATCCAAGGGCAGATAATTAAGTTGCATATAATGTGCAACCTTTAAAGGGTTGCACATGCAAACAACTCCCTTAATCTAGAAATACTTTACGTTGACCTGAGGTGAAAATTGATTAATGTTTGTGTCGACTTCAAATTTGTTGATCTATTAAGCACTAATTGGTTACAAGGCTAACACCGACCAATCAATTCTCGACACATTAGTTTATTTGAATATGAATATTTGAAATAATGATTCTATAGTGCAATAAAATTTTATAATTTAGCTGCAAAAGTTAAAAATATCATTTTCTGACTTTTACTAATTAATTTATTTAAATCATTTTAGGTTTTTTTTTTTAAACTATAAGTAAAAATTGTATTAAATATTTTGATAAATACTCTCAAAATATAATTTAAAAAATGCAATTAGAATAGAAAGAAAGACTTTCCAATCAAATGGTTCATTTACACAGGCCTCAACCCAATCAGAATACTGGACTGGGCTTTCTAACCGAACAACTTATTTGCCTTTCAAACCGACCCATTATGATTTCAATCGTTTTTCTCACAAATCCTAAAAAAGAAATAGAAAAACTGTAACCCTAACCCTAAATTGCACATATATAAATTCCACACAAAAGTGTTCAGAGCTCCTTATTGCTTCTACAGAGGTTGAAGTGGCTTTCATTACTCACCTCCTCGCACCTCTCATCTTCAGGTCTCTCTCTCTCTCTCTTTTGGAGATCTTGTGTTTATAGTATTGAATGATCTGGATTGTTGTAATGCAACTATTGTTGTTATTCAATTGTTTTATGGTGCAGAAAACGGAGCGATAATGGCATATGCAGTGATGAAGCCGAGGAAGCCAGGGTTGGAGGAGTCCCAGGAGCAGATTCACAAGATCAGGATCACTCTTGAGTCAGCTTACAATGTGATTGCTCATGAAAGGTCTCTTTTTGATTGCCCCACTACTCTGTGATTTCAATAAAACCTATATCATGTTGATTCTATCCTTTAATTCTTATTGTCTACCAAAAATGATCAAACATTTCTGGTGATTTGAGCTTAATATTATGAACTCTTTTTCCCTAAATGACTATATCACTTGTATATGCTTACATTCGCCTCAATTATGTGTATTTAAATGGAGAATGAATTATACATGGTTGTCCTGTACAATATGCGTTTTACAGACAACCAATCTAAATGTGTCACATAAGCAAAATTCAAAAATATTGAGCTACACAATAGAGTTTTTCCCTTTCTTCCAACTGGGTTGTCATTCATGCACAAACTCGATTGTTATTGAATTAAACACCAAAACTAAAATGAAAAAGAAAATAAAATAAACACTGTCTCGAGACACCAAACAATTCACCAAAATCCCAGCACAAATTCCCATTTGATTTTCTTCGAAAGGGATTCCCTATTTGATAAAAGCCACTAACACAGCAAAAGAAAAAATCACCACCACCAAAATTCATCAAAAATTCAAACACAGTCTTACATAGTTTTTGCCAAACTGTGACGGTAATGATGGGTTCAATTGGAAAAGATTCTATAAATGAAACCATGAATTCTTCATCTAATCAGCCAAAGGTTTTGGAGGGTCAGGTTTTTTTGGAAAATGATGTGAGGTTGTAGTGGGGGGAGGGGAGGGGGAGGGGATTGGTCGGTTAGTTTAGGTAAGAGGCAGTGGAAAAGGAAAAACCACAGAGAAACAATGTTGGCGAGTTTACTTATTTTTGCTTATGTGGTGGCTTCTTATTGGCTAACTGTAAAATTGGTGTTTTACGATGTCCATGTAGAATTTAATCCCATTTATATGTGTTCCTAGATGCTGAAATTATTCTAAATTTCAGAATTTTGATGAAATTTTTATATGGTAGCTCTGATAGTGAAGTTTGTTTGTGAAATTTTTTCATGAAGTGTTGATATCTTGTTTTTTATGTTTGTTTTTAATTGATAGTGTGTGCGGATTTGGTTCATGGAGCCAAGGATAAGAGGCTGAGGGTGAAGGGACCTGCCAGGATGCCCACCAAGGTTCTTCACATCACTACTAGGATGCCCCCTTGTGGCGAAGATATTGCGTTTAAAAATATCTTGATCTATTGCTTGATGTTGTTATAGTGGTTGGTAGGTAGTTTTGATTAAAAGAGCATAAAACTGCAGTTGTAACATTTTCCATTGGGTTCTAAATTTGTTTCTATGTTTAACTGTTCACTAAGGTTTTCATGTATTTATGTCCTGACTGGTTATTTTTTTTGGTAGTTTATTTGTAATGTTTTTGTTCATTGGTTAAATGTGTTTGCTCAATATATAGCCACATAATAAACTTTCATGTGGTGGAAACCTTATGTATTGTGACTTGGATGGACTTGTGCAATGTATTACCTGTTTAGTCTAATCTGGTTTTAAAACTACTCAACTGCACCCAAATTGCAACTCCTAAGTCGTGCTTGTTGATTATGTTGACAGCACAACACCTTTATGACTATTGTGTTGTTCATGTGGCACAATTTGAGTGCCTTACTGAACTGACAATGCCCAAATGCTTCCCTAGTCCACATAAAAATTGGTTTTTCATTTTGGTTAATTAATTTGAATCTTTCAAATGGAATCTTAGAACTTTTTATAAAATTGTATGAAGTTTCTTCGTTTTACATGGCATATTTTTCAGTGGTGCGTTCTACCAGCTAGCTGCTTTCTAGTAGGGATTATTATGTGTTCGAATTTTAGAATTTGAGAAATACGTTCAAATTTGCTTGAGTTTTAAAAATTTTGTTTTTAAATGACACGAGTTTGGTTAAAAAACTTTAATTGTATTGTCGTCAGACTTGAATGTTCTCCAAAGTTATCTTTTGTTAAAAAAAAAAAACTTGAATGTTCTCCAAAGTTATCTCTTGGAAGGTCAAAACATGAAATAATCTACATCCATTAGTGTCTAGTTAAACTTAGTATTTTATTTCACCATTCTTATAGAGTTTTTACTGTAGCTGAACATACTCAAACCTGCTTTAAATTTATAGCATGGCATTGATAGGAAGAGACTTATTGACCCTTAATATTTTTGCTTTGACAGGAACCAACACATGGGACAGATTTGAGCTCCGTGTCCACAAACGAGTTATTGATCTCTTCAGCTCCCCATATGTGGTTAAGCAGATCACCTCTATCACTATTGAACCTGATGTCGAGGTTGAGGTTACAATTGCTGATTCTTAAACAATAGTTAGCGTTGTGTGAACTGTAGCTCGACTTTTCGTGCTCCTTTCGAAAGATGATTAGCCCTACATTATCGGACTCTCGCAGTTCTGAATCTGATTTCACAAGTGCAATGTGAAAGAGATAAACACCAAAGAGTCCAAATCCGGCAAATCTTTTGGAAAATCAATTTTTAATCAAAATACCAAAAATTGACTATTTTGCCAGATACAAAGTTGCCACCTAAATATTTTTGAGAAATTTAGGAAACCCATGACTCATGCCAAAGGCCACGTGTCCGTCATCACCAAGATTGTCTCAGCTTGGGAACTTAGATACGAGAGGGAAAGATCGTGAATTGAGCACTCCCGCTTGCTCGATCAAAGATCGCCCTCTAATAATCATGATATGAATCTTATTTACATTATATGCTCGTGTTCCGATTATTAGGCTAGTATTACTATGTGATGCGCACACACACAAGTATAGACTAATTTGCAAGAATTGGAACACTTGATTTCATGTTTTGTTTTGAAAATTGTTTCGAATATGTACCACTTGAAAAAGTGATCGCATATGAACATTACTCAAATTATTTCAATTCAAACAATTAGCCTTTATCCACAGGCATTCAAATAGTTTATCATTTAAGCACCTAGCCTCATGGTGAACATACTTTGACATGGCAACAACCACATTCATGCAATATGCTAAAGCAAGTAAGAGCTCACCTAGTACTCCAAGCCAAAAAAGATGACAAAGTTAGAAAAAATTCATGATCCTAACTATGCAATATGACTAATGCAACGCATGCGATATGCAACTACTAGGCTAAGCTACTAATATGACATATGAAGTAATTTCATAGCATGCGGTCTAAGTACGTATTCAAAGAAGTATATGACTATAATGCAAGTTAGAATGATGAGTTGAGCCTCAATGTATGCAAAACAAGTGGATGCAAGGCATGAGAGATGCTAAACAAACACATGATGCCCTAAACTAACCATCATAAGCTAGTAAATAAAAGGGAGAAAGACATGGGGTTGGAAGACATACACGTCATTACAAGTTTGCGCCCTCACGTAGGAGGGTCCGAATAAACTAACTAGCTAGGCTAATTATTACGAATTAACTAACTATTACAAAACGAATGGAATAATTAACTAAACTAGCTAATTAATTATTATAACAAATTAAATAGTCTATGTAACTAGCTAATTAATTACACTAATTCACTATTTAACAAATTAGAACTAACTAATGAATTATGAATTAACTAATTACAACATGAATACAATATGAGAGAAGTATTAAGCTAACTACTCTAACTACTCCGCCTCGAGAAACGAGGAATGCTTATGTATGCGCTAATTTCCACCTAAAAAAGCCACTGTTCTGCTACCAGATGTCTCTGTTGCATAGTAGAACACTTGCACTTTTTTTCACCTCAAAACCAACTCTGTTCTGTTTCAAAAGCCACTGCTGGGTTTTGCAAAGGTGGCCAGTAGGCTAGAAGTGGTGGTCTACTGGCCACTGATGCTTGGTTCTTCCTATTGCAACAGAGAGCAAACAAAGCAAGAGTGGGGTATTCTCAAGGGTTGTTTGCACAACTTACCCCTCCTTATCATCAAACAGCTCAAATGAGTGGTAAACTTGATTCACAAACCATCAATCGATGCAATTTCATTGCATGATGGCCTATGAACCAAAGTGTGTAAGTTCAATAAATGCAACAAATAAAGACTCTCAAACCCCCTCCCTATCATGGATTGATCAAGGGAAGTGGTTGACAATGACTCTTGAACCGTTTACATCACTAACAAGTATGAAATGATTCAAGACTCAAGGGTTCAATTAACGTCCGATTGAACCCAAACTAAATTATTATCTTGCATCATTTTTAGTCCACATTTCATTACTCCATTTTAATTACCAACTATTCCTTAGTAAATTAAGTCCAAAGGTGAGTGTAGATGCGTCCGAACGTCCCGGGAAAATCCCGTTTTGTTCATTGGGCTCACTACAATTCGGACTCAATGCCACGGTTCTTAATCTGATCTCGCAAAGTGCAATACGAGATTGATAAATTACCAAAGAGTCCAAATCCGGCAAATTGTTTTGAAAAACTGATTTTTAGAAAGAAGTGTCAAACATGGACTGTTTTGCCAAATACAAAGTCGCCACCTAAATATTTTATTTTGAGGGAATTTAGGAAATCCTGACTCGTGCCTAAGGCCACGTGTCCGTCATTACCAAAGTTGTCTCGGCTCGAAAACTTGGGTACGATTGGGGAAGGTCATGCAATGAGCACCCCTGCTTGCCCGATCAAAGACCAGCCACTACTAAACATGATATCTTGTTTTTGAAAACATATGTGCTTTTATTCCGTTTATTAACCTGGAATTACTATGTGATGCGCACTGCATATAAGTATAGACTGGATTGCCTAAGTTGGAACAAAGCATCGCATATCCGTTTGTTTTGAAAATGGATTGAAGTTTGCTACTCGCAAGTAGGCTAAAACACGGGTTTCAACGAATTATTCCAACTCAAGCAACCCACCCTTCACCCATAGGCATTCAGGCAGGTATATCGCATAAGCACATAGCCTCATGGTAAGCATGCTATCATGGCAGTCACTCACACACATGCAAGGATGCTAAAGCATAAACACTTATCGAGTACTCCGAGCCAAAGAAAGAAACTAATTAGAAAGCATGCATGAATCCTAACTATACTAAGAATGCCTAATGCAACACATGCAAAAATGCAGCTACGATAGGCTCGGCTATTCTAAGATGGCATATGAGATGCAACAATCGATACATGTATTCAACTTGGAATTGAAATACAATGTAGTTAGCATGATGCGCCGAGCCCGGTGCATGCAAAACAGATGAATTGATGCAAACATACGAGCATAAGGATGCTAATTTAAACGTGCCCTAAAACTAACCATCATAAGCTGGTAAATAAAAGGGAGAAAGACGTGGGGTTAGAAGACATACATCACACACACACACACTTATTACAACATTGCCCTCCTCGAAGGGTCCGAATAAATAATACGCAACCGAATGAATAACGAATTACAGCTAATTATTACACAACCCTAATTAATTAACAAATTAACTAAAATAAATAAGCTAGCATGCAAAACATATGAAATGGACTGCCTCAGCTCAATCTTGAATGATAAGGAATGCATGCACGCTCGAGTCGTCTTGCCGGAAAATCCATCGCAATGCCCTGATTTGCCTTTGTTTGCAACTGGTCCCAGAACACTGTACAAAACTCCAGAAGGCTGAAACTCCACCATGCTGTAGGGATACTACCGACCAGTTTTGCTGTTGGTTTCCGGTTTGCTGCAAGAGAGAGCAAGAAAGGGGCATGGCAAAGTATTTTCAACATATGTATGCACGACCACTCTCCCCGCCATTGCGTAAGCTCTAGGGAGTGTAGTTCTCGATCCTCATGCCACCAATCATGCATCTCGATGCATGATGGCCGAGGAGTCGAATTGCATGACTCAATGTGAAATGGATGCACAAATGAACACAATAAGGCCTAAACTCCATCATGGGTAATCAAGAGTGTCGGCGACCGGGAATGGAAGCACGTTTCATCACTTTGAGTACGAAACGTCCCTCATTTCCTGTGTTTGAACTAAACCCTACTCCAAACACTATGTAACAACTAGAATGGCATGGCATGCAAACACAATGCAACAACTAGCATGCAATCCTAAACGAAATACAACTAAGACATGCAAACATGCAATGAATGACATGCAAATGTGCAACTAGAATACGCAATGCTATGAACTATGAATGGCATACTTAATGCACATGACGCTATATGGCATACACAATGCACATATGACGATGGACATACACAAAAGCATAATCAAGGCATACACAATGCGACGATCAAGCATGCAACAACATGGACATGGCATACACGATGCAAGATGGACTTAAACTAAAATGAATGGGCCTCAGCCACACTCAAATCAGTGGCCAAACATGATGAAATTAGGCAACAAAAACAAATGCAAATATGCACAAATGCAAGGGACCAAACCTAGGGCACCAAATATAACTCTACCAAAGCATGGCAAGGGATGGAATATGGCATACAATCACACATTCTCCAACTCTGAAATGACATTCAAGATGGTCCCAAATCATGTAAACACCTCACACAATGCATGCTAGATGGCCCGGATACCGAAACTAGTGAAGTGCATTACACTAAAGGTACACAAAGCAATGCTCAAATGACCCAACCAGTCCCAAACAGTCCCTATGTAGGTCCAAGACAGTGGGAAAATGGTCTAAAATGATGGCTCAAAATGCATAGAAATGAAGCTCATTCAATGGTCCATAAATGAGGTATTCATGCACAACTCTCAAACACGTTTAAAGAATGGAAAACATGGGAATATGACACAAGTATAGGCTGTGAAATGACATGCTCAATGGCCCTAAAACATGAAAACACCTCAGTATAAGCATGCAATAGGCTTCAAAACTCAAGGCTAGGCAAGGGTATTACACTACAACCATGCATAGCAAGCATCATTCGACCATGAGGCATAAAAACAGAGCTAAGGCAGTCCAAAACATGCATAAAATCAGTTTAAGGCATGACTAAAAAGTGCTAGAATCAAAGACCAAAAAAGTATGCAATACAAGCTAGTGAAGAGGGTTTACACTACAAGTATATGAAGCATTCAAGAGGTCACTAAACCAGAAAAGTTCAAAGGTATGACATGCCAAATAAAGTCCAAAAACTCACTGAAACATAGTCAATGTATGCAAGAATGGCATGCTCCTTTGATAAGCTATGAAGAGGGTTATTCTACACATGCAAGATGGACACCCAATATAGAAAAAAAAGCTCTGGAAAGAGCCTATGAAGGTCCTAAAACTCACCAAAAATGGCCTGAAACATGGCTCGGAAGCATGCAAATAAGGGCTCATTTGTTAGGCCAAATATGCTAGGAAACAAAACAA